GACACATGAAGAACTTGCTGGATGTTTTCTAAGAGCCTGTTCTTATGGCATGGCCAGATCTGAAGCATTTATCCACCAGGTTCTATGAATGGTCCTCATGGGATCTTGAAATAATAGGTGTATGAACCAAATATTTTTTGGGATTGCCAGTTGTTGTTTTAAGATGGGAGAGGATACCATTTAAAAATTTGGCGTTAGACTGGGTGTGGTGGCTCATGCCTGCAATCCCTGCCCTTTGGAAGGCCAAGGTGTGTGGATCACTTGAGGTCAGGAGTTTGAGACCAGCCAGGCCAACATGGTGAAACCCTGTCTCTACTAAAAATACAAAAATTAGCTGAGCATAGTGGTGCACACTTGTAATCCCGGTCACTCAGGTGGCTGAAGCACAAGAATCACTTGAGCAAAACAAAATAAAACAAAAACTTGGCATCAAATTAAATAACATTAAGTATTAATTGTAGTCTTAGAAAAGGACGTATTATATGGAATTAAAAATTCAAAGTTTATCTTGGGATGGTGGCTCATGCCTGTGATCCTAGCACTCTGGGAGGCCAAGGTGGGAGGATCACTTGAGCCCAGGAGTTCAAGACCAGCCTGATCAACATGGTAAGACTCCATCTCTACAAAAAATAAATTAGCCACATGTGGTGGTGTGTGCTTGTGGTCCCAGCCACTTGGGAGGCTTAGGTGGGAGGATCACTTGAGCCCAGGAAGTTGAGGCTGCAGTGAGCCGTGGTGGCACCACTACCCTCCAGTTTAGGTGACAGAGTGAGACCCTGCCTCAAAAAAAGAAAAAAGAAAGTTTTACATTATCTTTATGGACATCTGATTTGAACAGGGGAATTCATTCGCTTCTCACATCAACATAGGGATCACGATTTCTTAGCCACAGGGCAGGGAGGGTTCTCTGGCTCCCAGCAGTGATTCTTTTTCCCTCAGGCCTGGGCAGACGATATGGCGCGGTTTCAGAAAATGTTCAGACACCCAAGTCATGTGCAGCTGAAGGTAGTTGCTGGAAACCATGACATTGGCTTTCATTATGAGTAAGTAATTCAGGAAAGCACTGCACCCTGAGAGCTCTTCTTAACGGTAATTCTAAACCTGCTGGAATTCAGGTGAAAGCCCTATTTGTGCCATCTTGAAATTTGTTTTCCTCAAAAGATGTAAGCTCTGTGATGTTAAAGCCTTTAAGGGGTTTTTACTCTTGGTGCATAGTACACCCTCAACAAGTACCTGTGGAATGAATGAATTGTATGTGTCCTTGGGAAACATCTACTTGAAATGTACATTTCATAGCCAATTATTTTCTTTGGGAATGAAAAAACAAGATCATTTAGACTTTAGTAACTAGCATTTATATAGTGCTCTGGTGCTTATAATATGCCTCCTGTTTCAAGTGCCTTACTTCCATATTTTAACACATTAATCTTTACCATGGTCCTGTTGTTTTACTTAGGGCACCAATGTGGAATCTGAGGCCCTGGGCAGCTGAGTAACTTGCTCCAGGCTTCATACTAAGTAGTGGAACTGAAATTTGAGCTTTGATACTCTGGGGCCAGCTTAAGTAATAATGCTAGTCTGAAACTCAAGTCCTGAAAGTTATTTTGTGTTCGTGATAACTCTAGGAGTTTCTAAAATGGCTTGTCCTGAAAAATGTTTCTTTTTACAACTGAATATAGGATGAATATATACAAAGTGAAACGATTTGAGAAAGTGTTCAGCTCTGAAAGACTGTTTTCTTGGAAAGGCATTAAGTGAGTATTATTTGTAAATTCTTCCAAGACCTTTAGTCCTTGGAAGCTTCATTTTTTAAAGGTGCCTGCCATGCTGGGATGGATCATCTACTTGTGTTCTGTTTAGCCTGGTTTATGATCTTTAAATAGCAGTGCCTCAGGCTGTCCTTGCTGGTGCTCATCATGGGAGCCAATAGATGGGAAACCTCAAAGCACCCTGGTTTTCCTTGACAACCCCACAGTGAATCGGTCAGTTTATGACTGCCCAGCCACTGTGGGAATGATATTCTATCTGCACTGTCTCTGGGTGTTGCAAATTTCATGAGCCCACTTTGTAAAAAGTCTTTCTTTTATTTGATCAAAATTTACTACTTTCACTTTACAAAGACTATTCCCATAGTATGGTGTCATGGGATTTTGTGGTAAGTGTGTCACAGTGCCTCTGTACCTCTGTGCTACCCAACCCCATCGGCCTGAGCTTTTAGACCAGAGCACCCTGACCCTTAGCCTGACCGTGAACACCAGCTCCCCTTCTGCGAGGCCACATCAGTGCCCATCTCTGGATCCTTTCTGGGCTGTGAATGTGGCTGCAGCACAGTGGACAGGACTCTCTACCTTGTTTATAGACACGGTGGAGATTAAACAGGTGGGAGTAGAAGCCTTTTCTCTTTTAATCCTGTCTTTCCTGTGGGTGCCCGGCACTCTATTGACCTTGGCCACAGCAGGTTTGCAGATGAGGTCATCTCTGTCCAGTGGCTTCATCACCAATGGTCACCTTTCCCTCCCTCTGCCAGGAGGGCAGAGTCTCTAGAAGGTGGCTTCCTCTGCTGACTCACTCATAATAGAAACATGACACAGTTTGAGTTATTGCCCTCTAAGCATAGTGTTTAAGAAACTTTAGCTTATTATGCTGCCTATCACTTGATAATTCCACTCCTTATCTCTAAAACGAGTTAAATTTCAAGCAGTCTTTACTGACAGGTACTTTAGTCATTCCAAGATGGTATGTGTGTAGGAAATAAAAGCACATTTAGTGAGCGTCTATAAAACATACAGGTGGCTGCTGAGTCTAACCAAAATGGACTTTGTTATTACCCTAGTTTGGGTAATACCAGTTAGCTCTAACCAGCACCCTACTCTCTGCCTTACTTGCTGTGTGTGTCCGTATGTCACTGATGTGTCCCATGGTTCCCTCTACCTGGTAGTCAAAATATCTGACACGTACTGAGTACTTTCTAGTGGCAGGCTGTGTTCTAAATACCTGCCATGTCATTCATTGAATCCTCAGAACAAGCTGATGGTGTGGGCAGAGGGTTCTTAGCCCCCTGCACAGATGAGACACTGTAACAGATGAGATTCTGGTTGGAGGATGAGCTTAGACATAGTCTGACTGCAGAGTGTCTGTAATCTGGGATTTCTCACAAGTTTAGGGTCAAAACCCTTCGATCGTGTCTTGGACTGAGCTCCCAGTAATGCTATTTTTGTTAATGTTGACTCATACTTAAAAATACACCCAATTATTCTGGGTGGGGTTGAAAGCTGCTCTGGGCTTGTTTCTTCATACTGGATGCTTAGCTTTCTTTTCATGGGGAACAGTGGGGAAAGAAAGCACCAGTACCATGGCTGGGCGCAGTGGCTCACGCCTGTAATCCCAGCACTTTGGGAGGCCGAGGTGGGCAGATCACGAAGTCAGGAGATCGAGACTAACCTGGCCAACATGGTGAAACCTGTCTTTACTAAAATACAAAACATTAGCCAGGTGTGATGGTGCACACCTGTAGTCCCAGCTACTCGGGAGGCGGACGCAGGGGAATTGCTTCAATCCAGAAGGCAGAGATTGCAGTGAGCCGAGATTGTGCCAAGCACCAGTACCCCCAGTGGCCTCACCTGCCTTCTCCCCTCCACCTCAGCTTCGTGATGGTCAACAGTGTGGCGCTGAAAGGGGACGGCTGTGGCATCTGTTCTGAAGCAGAAGCAGAGCTCATTGAAGTTTCTCACAGACTGAACTGCTCCCGAGAGGTAGGAGAGCATCTGAACACCACAGGTGCCTTCTGTCCCATGTCACTCCACTTTTTCGCTCACTCAGCCCCCCCTGCCATTCCTGCCCTTTGATGAGTGTCAGGTGTGTGGATTAATGGCCTGATTTGTACCCAGCAGGTACATGGCTCCAGCCAGTGTGGACCTGGGCCTCTGCTACCCACGTCTGTCCCCATCCTCCTGCAGGTGAGCCCAGGGAGGAAGGGGTGCGTGGCGGACAGCAGGCAGTCAGGGTTTCACTGTAGCCACCTGACTCCTCCCTCCGCCCATCAGCATTACCCCCTGTACCGGAGAAGCGATGCTAACTGTTCTGGGGAAGACGCTGCTCCTCCGGAGGAAAGGAACATTCCATTTAAGGAGAACTACGATGTGCTTTCTCGGGAGGCATCACAAAAGGTTTGCCAGGGTGTTGTGGTGCTAATTCATGTCACAGTGTGACTCTCATCACCTTGCATGTCAGCAAGCAGAGCACCCAGGCTAGAGCAGGTATTTGCTGAAACGTTGATGACTTAGTTATCACCTGGGGACAGGGGTGGAGGCCTGGCTTTGACAGTATCCCAGATTTTCATTTAATTGCTTTCTCTCTTTTATTTTTTTGTTTTAAATAAGTAAATCTACTTCTATTTCCTAACCTCAATTCAATAATATTCTCAGCTATTCTTTGTATTCAGTTTTTCACCAGCTTAAATGTATTTAGAAATGTGAATGGAACTTAGAGTCAAATTTTTAGGGACTTGATTAAAAGGCATTTTCTTATATAGACTTATATAATACATATTACATTATATAAAATATATCAATATAGGAAATATTTATAAGAAATGTATAAAAATATTTTTAAAGATAAAATATCATAAGAAGTATATAAAATCTGGGATGAGAACAGTAGATTCAAAGGGGCTGACCTTACCTTTGATTTAGTATAAATAAACCAAAGGATTTTTAAGGAAAAAAATGAACTAGTACTTCAACACAAGGATTTAGTATTTAATTTAATGAAAGAAGCGATGGCCAGCGGCCGTCGGCTGGGCGGTGAGAGTCCCGGTTGAGGGTGAGCTAACAGCCTGCTTTGCTGTCTTCTCCGCCGCCGTCAGCTGCTGTGGTGGCTCCAGCCGCGCCTGGTCCTCAGTGGCCACACGCACAGCGCCTGCGAGGTGCACCACGAGGGCCGAGTCCCCGAGCTCAGCGTCCCATCTTTCAGTTGGAGGAACAGAAACAACCCCAGTTTCATCATGGTAAGGTGAAAGTTTATTTTTGTCTGAAAGCTTTCATAAGTATTTAAATCAACACAGTAATCAACTATTTAATAGCTGCAATCTATAAAAATTTACAAAAGCCACACAATTTCCTTTCCTCTACACTTAGGTCCATACACTGCCCCTTGCCAAACACCCTTTCAGGAACCAATCGGCATGACATTCTTGGGTGGTTACTGTGAAGAACGAGGGCAGGGCACCGTCCAGGTGGAATTTATCCTTCAGGGAAGGCCATGTCCTCTCCTCTTACACTCTGTGTGTGTTTAGTTTTCTAAAGAAACAACCATTTATTCATTAGCTGTACTCAGCCATCTTCTCCTAGTTTCTAAACATGTCCATTTTTCCTGGCAGAGAATGCAACAGCCTTTGCAGGTTGATACAAATGTTTCAGTTAATGACCACTGGGTGTTTTAACTCCTTTCAGCCATGGGCTCCTGCATCCAGCTCATGATGCTGGTATGTCAAGTTCTTTTACTTCATAAAAAGGTGAGGAAGCCCTAACATTTTAAGATTCAAAGTAAATGAAAACATTTGCCACTGTCATTCCACATAAAAGTACCTGCAAAGAAAAGCCCACTGAGATGACCTAGACACATGTGTTTCTAGGGAACGATTGCTTAGTTGAGCATCACGGGGCAGGAAGACACCCTTCCCTCCTGTTCCTCGCTGACTGATGACCCTGGAACTCCACGGTGCCTCTCTGAATCTCTGTTATGGATCCCCTACTATATTTGATGGGAACCCCCGTGGGCCAGGGGCCAGTTTTGACAGAGAGGTCAGTGTCCCAGACATTTTCCACCCAGGCACGCCTGGGCCTTCCTTGTCTCTCCTGCCAGAGCCTGGGCTAGTCAGGGGGTGACCTGTGCAGGAGGAAGGCCGGGCCCTCTTGGTCTCAGGTGAGGAGGGCCCCTTCCCTGTCTCACCTGAGGGGGACCTGAGAAGGCAGTCTTCCCTCTGTAGTTTCTAAGACTGTGGTGTTCAACCTATGTCTGGTGCTCTCAGCTTAACTTTCTCTTCTCCTTTCCAGGGTAGCATCACGCCCACAGACTATGCCCTCTCCAAGTGCTACCTCCCACGTGAGCACGTGGTTTTGATCATCTACTGTGGAGCGGTGGGCTTCCTTATGGTCCTCACACTCACTCACTTTGGGCTTTTAGCCTCACCTTTTCTTTCTGGATTGAACCTGCTCAGAAAGCATAAGACAAGGTGAAGAGCAGTTGACGTTTGCACTTAGCAACAAATATCAAAACCCAAATAATGGAACTTTGGGCAGAGATCATGTTAGAATCAAGTGGATGTTGAGACCAATTATAGGCTGTCTCTCTGCACATCACAGAAATTCTCAATCACTGAAATGAGTAACTGCAAAATAAATAGTTGATTGTACTGTTCTCATGCTGTAAAAATGGACAGGTACTCTACAACATATCTGTTTTCTCATTTTTATCAAATATATGTATCATCAAAGGTTGCATCTGTACAGTATGTAAATGCTATTAATGTCATCACTCACATGCACGACAGTCCTTGCTCCCCCAGGAAGGGCCTGGTGACCCCAGCACACATTGAGATTATGTGTATACATAAATATTGGGCTTGTTTCCCTCTTCCTGTGAAGTGGTTCTCAAATTCCTATGTACTGTAAAGCTGTACCCTTAAAAGTACAGATGTGGCAGGGCACAGTGACTCATGCTTGTAATCCCAGCACTTTGGGAGGCTGAGACAGGTGGATCACTTGAGGTCAGGAGTTCAAGTCCAGCCTGGCCAACATGGTGAAACCCCATCTCTACTAAAAATACAAAAATTAGCCAGGTGTGATGGCAATCGCTTATAATCCCAGCTACTTGGGAAGCTGAGACAGGAGAATCCCTTGAACTCGGGAGGTGGAGGTTGCAGTAAGCCAAGATCGTGCACTCCAGTCTGGGTGAAAGAGCAAGACTTTGTCTCAAAAAATATATTTAAAAAAAAGTACAGATGTGATGTGGAGGACATATTGTTTTGTAGATTTTTGTACTTGATAAGTTAATGGATCAGATTTTTAGATAAGTGTAATTTTCTCTATAGGAGACCCAGTTGATACATCTGATAATGCCTGTCGATGATCAAAAGAGACTCGAAGCATGGAACGGGATGTGGCTTTTGGTACTTGAACATGAATGCTTTAATAATTTTAAGCCAGATAAAATTTATTCTTTTTGTTTTTTTCTTAAAATCTGGCTCTTGTATGAATTAAACTCTTAAACAGGATGTTTAGTTACAGGGTAATTGTTGAGTGATGATGCATACAACACCACACTTCCTTTTCTTGCTGGGGGTGTAGCTTTGCAGTTTTCTTGTTTTACTTTGAGAGTGCAAGGGGAACTGAAAATGATTTCCACTGCATTTATCTTAGTTCAGCTGAGGGTTTTATGAGACAGTGGATGGGAGGGGCAGGAAGATGGTGATGAGATAAAAATGTGTGTGTTGCACTGACTGTCTACAAAGTTGTCATCCTTTCTTCATGAAAAAGCATTTAAATCTGGATGAGTTTATAAAGGATTACAAAATGCTGATTTATAGAGTAAACTTTAAAATATTAAAGACTAAAGACTGAGAGGCGAGTAATTAATGTAGGCTGTCACTTCTCTAGATTTGTTTTGTTGAAAATTTAACTTTGGGCATCTTTACAGATTATTTTAGACCTACAAAAACTACCCTCAACACTGTGGCTACAGATAGAATGTGAAACGTCATCACTACAACAGTTCCTACTTTCTAGATATTGTTTGTGTGCATAATGTTTGAGGCTGTATTTGTAAATCTTGCAAGGGTGAGAAAGAGCCATATCTTTTGACATTATACTTCAAATTAAGGTTTTGCAATGTTTCTTCTTCAAAAGGCAAGTGAAGCTGTCATCCTTACTCTCTTAGGCCAGACATAAACGTCGACACATCATGTTTTGTTTTTCTCTTGCCATTTGTTTACTTGTCTGATGTAGCCTGTGTCCAGAGTTTTGACTAAGGGAATCATTGCCCTGTTCCCACTTAGGGAAGTTGAAGAAGTCTTTCATTAGCAGAGTAATTAGGAAACATACTGTCTAGAGAGAGAGAAAAAGAAAATCCCTGGTTCTCTGAAAAGATTAGATTGCAATTTGTACCAGTGAATTGAGTTCAGGTTTTTACAGCTCAGAGAAGTAGGAGCAGGTGGTTGCAACAGCTTGTGATGTTGGTACGACATTGTTGGTAGAATGTGGATGATGAATGTGTATAACTTACAATTTTTTAAATCAAGGAGTATTTTATAAAGTGCCAACCGATAAAATATCCTAAATTCTACAGCTACCATTCATTCCTTTTTTCAGAGTAAGCAGCAGGTAATGTTGACATTAAGCTATTCAGCACAATACAAACACATTTCATGTACAGGTATAGATAGCCATGGTAAAGGCACAAAGATCTACAAGGATTTTTGTTTAGTAGTTATACAAAAGAATGTTACATTTTGTGGTCTGTACAGTATAACAAACCAGCAATAGGACAACAACAAAGAGAATCTAAGAAGATTATGCCTAAATATAGTGAAAGTTTAGAGAATCATTTTTAGACAGGACACGTTTTGCAGTAGTGAATGTGGTAGGTTTTCTGCCTAAAGGTAAGAGGCTCAAAGTAGCTGTAATTCAAATGCCTGAGGCCAGCAGCAACTCCAAATGTGACTGTAAAAGGGTTTCTGGTCACTCTGTTGCTTGGGGTCGACTCTAAGTCTTGGGCCAAGGCTGATGGGAAGGGACCATTGCTCGTCAGCCTGCAGCTTCATAAAGGGAAACTCAGAGGGCCGCGGCTGGGGGCACTGGACATACGCTCTTGCAGTAACGCTTGATAACATGAAAAAACCCAAACGCGTTTTCTCCCCATCTACCAGATTCTCCTCAATGAATCAATAAATGAGAATGAATAAAGGGGCCCCCACCCGGAGAGATTCTGCTGCAGTGTCAGCAAGTGAGAGTCAGTGGTTTCGGGGTGGGATGCTGCGGAAGGTTGTATTCAATGACAACAGAAGCTACACAACCAAACCTGAGGGGACAGAGGTAGCCAGAGGCTTGGTGGTCGACACAGAACAGGACAGACGGCAGCGAGATGGAACTAGAGACTCTGCCTCCTACCATGGCGTGGGCCGGCAGACAGGCAGTCCCGGGCGCCGCTCCGTGGCGGGGTGGCGGCAGCGCCCTCACAAGAGCTCGTACTGCTTGAGGTGCATCCGCTGGATGATGTCGCGACAGTCGTTGAACACCCTGCGGATGTTCTCTGTGTCCACGGCGCAGGTGAAGTGTGGGTAGCAGTAATGCTTGCCGTCGCCGGTGGCCGTGCTGATCCTCTGCAAGAGAGAGCGTGTGCGCTAGGCCTGCGCGGCCCCAGCGCGCACCTTGAGGGAGTACTACTGCAGGCCACCCTGAGCGGGTGCTGGAGGCTGCTTAGCCTGCTCGTTTTGCATGGAAGCACTTAGAGGCAGGAGCAGTCAATGCAACAATCGACTGGGGACCCAGAGAACCTTACCCTTATCGCTGCCCCACGAGGCCGAGGCAGCATGGACAGGTCAGAGAAAGTCCAAGGCAGGCAAGTCAAGGGAGGGGCTTCCAGAAAGGAAGGTCTGCACAGAGCTTTCTGTGACAATGGGAATGGTGTCCTCTATCTGCTCTGCCAATATGATAGCCACTATCTAGCTGATACCACCGAGGGGCTGATTTCTAATTAACTAGCTTTTGTTTTTCTTTCTTGAGACAGAGTCTCGCTCTGTCCCCCAGGCTGGAGTGCAGTGGAGTGATCTCGGCTCACTGCAACCTCTGCCTCCTGGGTTCAAGTGGTTTTCCTGCCTCAGACTCCTGAGTAGCTGGGATTACAGGTGCCTGTCACCATGCCTAGCTAATTTTTGTATTTTTAGTAGAGATGGGGTTTTACCATGTTGGTCAGGCTGGTCTCAAACTCCTGACCTTGTGATCCGCCTGCCTTGGCCTCCCAAAGTGCTGAGATTACAGGCGTGAGCCACCATGCCTGGCCAGCTAGTTTTAATTCAATGTCCACATGTGCCCAGTGGTTCTGTATTATAGGGTGAAGAAACCCCATGGCCGCTTCCACACAGGGGCAGTTTAACATCTGCTAAGCAGGGTGTCCCCTGGTCAATAGGGGAACGTTCGTAGCCTTTTGGGAGACAAGTGCTCTGTTGTCAAGTACCTGGGAAACAGCATTAGACATTGTGAGTCATGGTTTATGGGGATACCTTAGTGACGTGCTCATGTGCATTGTGAAGCTAAGTGCAGTGGGTGTGGGGAGAGGCTGTTATGGGCCAATCTGTGTTCCCTAAAGTTACATGGAATCCCCGACTCCCTGCACCTCTGATGTAACTATATTTGGAGATAAGGCCTTTAAAGAGGCAATTAAGGTAAAATGAGGTCTTTAGGGTGGGCCCTAATGCAATATGACTGGTGTCCTTATGAGACTAGGAAAGCAGGAGGATGCAGCCAGGTGCAGAGGGAAGACCCCGTGAGACACAGGGAGAAGGCGGTGCTGCACCAACCCTGCCCACACCTTCATTTCAGACTTCCAGCCTCCAGAGTTGTGAGAAATACATTTCTGCTGTTTAAGCCACTCAGCCTCTGGGGCACTTTGTTATGGCAACCTGGGTCAATTTAGACAGAGGTCCTATGAAGCTCGCCTTCTTTTTTTTGTACCACAGGAATCCCTGGGCCTCCTCCTCAGCCCCTCTACTCCTTTTTCTACAAGGCATCCCATGAAACAGCCTTTAGATAGCTGCTTGTGGCCAGGCACGGTGGCTCACATCTGTAATCCCAGCACTTTGGGAGGCTGAGGTGGGCGGATCACCTGAGGTCTGGAGTTCAAGACCACCCTGACCAACATGGAGAAACCCTGCCTCTATTAAAAATACAAAATTAGCCAGGAGTGGTGAAGCATGTCTGTAATCCTAGCTACTCTGGAGGCTGAGGCAGGAGAATCGGTTGAACCTGGGAGGCGGAGGTTGTGGTGAGCCGAGATTGCGCCACTGCACTCCAACCTGGGCAACAAGAGCGAAAC